CAGGCACTCTAGCAGAAGGGCGGAGGGGCTCGATATCCGGCTGCGCCACCCGAGCCCCCCCTCCAATAGAGAGGTCCCAGTTGAGCCCGTCGCCTCGACACCGAAGGCCCCTGGCCATCATCGCTTAACCGCCATTTCCTTTAGTGCGCCGACCGCACGTTTCAGAAATAAACAGCCGCGCCACGTAGCGAAGCTCCAAATAGCGTACGCACCAAGTCGCTCCCCCTCCAGCAAGCCCGGTCTTAACTCCTCAACCTACGACTTTCGGAGCTCGGGGGATTCTCATTTAATTATGATTTTGGGCTTTAATTGTATATTAAAAAAAATAGTTTTTAAATTAGGTGAGTCAACCCGTTTAACCCACCAACTCGTGATAGGCCGGGCCGGGTTCAATTTTTTTGAACTCACTAATAAATGAGCCGAGTCCAACAATTAATCATAAACTAGTCAACACTGAATGCCGGAAAAAGCAAAAGAAGAAGGGAATAAAAAAAACCATTTTTGGTTTGGTTTAGTAGACCACAGAGAAGACAATAAAGGACAATGTTTGCTGACAAATGCCGCAATGACTCAGTCTCTCAACTCAACCATGATAATCATAATCATTGTTAGAGATGTATGTCAGTTCCCAAAATTGATCCTTCTTGAAGACTGCAAAATTTCACATTTCAAGAAACAAGAGCCTTGCTTTTTCATCATCTACATCTAGTCAAGTTACCCCTCCATGCAAATAAATGCACAGGTTGCATTTTTCTTTTATTTGAGAGTAAAATACAAAAACTAATTTATTTTAATAAGATAATAGTCTTATTTTATTTTTAACATGATAACTGAAAATCCAAGTCAAATAAAAATGTATTTTTTAGTTAATATACTTTATTCAATTTTTAATTTTGGAACAAAATGAATCATTTCATAAAAACTCTTACATATGCAGAGGTAAAAAAGAAAACTCTTTTTTTTGTTCTTGAATACGCTATTAAAAAATTTCTACTTTAAAATTACTATTCGTTGTGAGTCGTGACTTGTGGTGAATGCTTCAACTTTAAACATATTTGAGTTATATGTTATAATATAAACTGTGGTGCCTGAGGGTGTTATGCAGGCCCATTTATAATTTTTTTGCTTCATAAACTCATGTTATCTTTTCATAAGCACAATAGGTTGGCTCGTGTGTAGCAGGCCTGAGGGTGTTATACAGGCCCATTTATATTTTTAAGCCTTTATTCACGTTATTAACTTTTATTTTTAAGTTAAAAGTTACCAAAATAATAATAATAATAATATATTACTTGAGTTGGTTAGGTTGCTGGCTTAGCTTCGAACTACTATCGTCTCTCTCACTTTCTGATAGTATGGTATCAAGAACTTGAATTCCACAATTTCTTTCACTCACACATTTATGGCATTGGCATGTCGTCCACAATTTCTAGAGGAGTATGACTATGAATGTATGATGCGAGTGAAATAATTAAAGGCATTGATACTTGTACGCCGTTAAAATGAGCTCAGCCCGGTGAGTCAATCCGGTCCATTACGGGTTCGAATCGGGTTGGGCAAAAAAAAAAAATTTTAATACGGGCTAATTTTGAACCTAGTTCACTAATAACCCGGCTCATCCGGGTTAAACCCGTGGTGAGCCAGACTGACCCACCAACCCGTTAAAAAAAAACTTATGCTTCAGTTTCAGTTTATTGGGCCCGATTGCCCAAATGAGCATTAGAGTTTGAATTATATTTGAATTATTGGGCCCAAAAGAGTATTTAAGATGATTTTAAATTATATATGTTTACATGAGATTATTTAGATTTTATTTGATTGTATTTAGAATTATCATTTAATTATGATTTTGGGCTTTAATTGTATATTAAAAAAAATAGTTTTTAAATTAGGTGAGTCAACCCGTTTAACCCACCAACTCGTGATAGGCCGGGCCGGGTTCAATTTTTTTGAACTCACTAATAAATGAGCCGAGTTAGATTGGCCCACCAAATACTCAATCGTGGTGGATCGGGCCGGGCCAGGCCTTAAAGAAAATTTAATTAAGTACGTTTCTCAGGGAGAGGTGACTTTGAAAACGCCTACCCCATAGATTCTTTCTTTTCAAATTTGCCATATATAGAAAGTGCCTGGGGGAGGCTCTTTCTAAAAATAGAAGGTGCCTGGGGGGAGGCGTTTTCAGTTCAAATCTGTCCGTGCCACATCAGCAATAGAAGGCGCCTGGGGGGAGGCTTTTTCTAAAAAACGCCCACCCCCAGACATTTTCAGTGCCACGTGTATACTGACTTGTCCAAAATTACCTATTTCAGTAATTAATTTTTTTTTAATTTATTTCATGTATTTTTAATTTAGTGAGGTGAAAAAGCCGAAGATATTTTGATTGTAGTAGTTATTTATGGTGAAAAAGAGGGTAAAGGGAGAGTGAGAGGATGAAAGAAGAAAAAAGGAGCGAAAAATATCTTAGAAGAAGAGGCATGAGATAAGGTAAGGGGAAAGACGCAAGTTCATTCTTCACACACAAAGACAGAGACTGCAGTGTTAACGATGCTTTCCCTCTCTCCCAGCGTCACAGCCAACACTCGAAACCTCAAACCCATATCTCCCAATGACCACTTTCTCTGCGCTGCCTCCTCCACCACCCACCGCCGCCACCACATCCCAAAGCCCATCTCCGCAGTCCTCAACTCCTCCTCCTTCTCGAGGCCGCCGCCGCCGCAGCAGCAAGTGTACCAGCCCTTCCGCCCACCCCCGGCGCCCCTGCCCTCGCAGTACGGGACACTGGACCTGGCGGGGCGCATCGAGGTGCTGGCCAACCGACTGGGGCTCTGGTACGAGTACGCGCCCCTCATCACCTCGCTAATCCGCGAGGGCTTCTCCCCTCCCACCATCGAGGAGACCACCGGCATCTCCGGCGTCGAGCAGAACCGCCTCATCGTCGGCGCCCAGGTGCGCGAGTCCCTCGTCAGCTCCAACGCCGACCCCGACGTCCTCGAGGCCTTCGAGACCGGCGGCTCCGAGCTCCTCTACGAGATCCGCCTCCTCAGCGCCTCCCAGCGCGTGGCCGCGGCGCGCTTCCTCGTGAACAACCGGTGCGACGGGAAGGAGGCGCAGGAGCTGGCGCGCGCCATGAAGGATTACCCGAGCCGGCGCGGCGATAAGGGATGGGAGCGCTTTAATTACACTCTCCCCGGGGACTGTCTGGCGTTCATGTACTACCGGCAGAGCAGGGAGCATCAGAATCCTTCGGACAAGAGGTCCTCGGCGCTGGAGCAGGCGCTGCGCGTGGCGGAGACGGAGGAGGCGAGGCAGGCGGTGCTGGAGGAGATTAAGGGAGAGAAGCAGGGGGAGAAGGCGGAGGAGGAGGAGATTGTGACGCGTGTTCCGGTGGTGAGGCTCAGGATTGGGGAGGTGGCGGAGGCGAGTTCGGTGGTGGTGTTGCCGGTGTGCAAGGCGGAGGAGAGGGAGATTTTGGAGGCGCCGTTTGAATGCAGGAGTAAGGGGGAGTTTGGGGTGGTGATGGCGGAGAAGGGGTGGGGGAGGTGGGTGGTGTTGCCGGGGTGGGAGCCGGTGGTGGGTTTGGGGGATGGAGGGGTTGTTGTGTCGTTTGCGGATGCGAGGGTTTTGCCTTGGAAGGCTAATAGGTGGTACAAGGAGGAGCCTATATTGGTGGTGGCTGATAGGAGTAAGAGAGAGGTGGGTGCTGATGATGCTTTTTATCTTGTCAATCTGGAAGGCCAGGGTTTTAAGGTGGAGAGGGGTTTGGCTTTGAAGGAGGGGGGTGTCACTCTCACTTTGGGAAATGTGGTCTTGGTTGTTAGACCCCCCAAAGAGGAGTATGATGATCAGTTGAGTGACGATGACTGGGAGTGACCTGCAATCAAACCACACGGGACAAGGGAATGAATGCCTTCTCACATTTTATTCTTCTCTGCTTAATTTAACTCATTTCCTTGCCTTTCTTTTTTGTATCATGCAAACATAACGATCTATTCATTTCATTAAGATGCTATTTTCTCTTGTATTCCATACTTAATACAACGATTTATCCGCTTTTCTATTCTTTTTATATGCGTTCACGTTAGTCATTGGTTTTGGTTCAGTGACGTATGCTTTACTCTTAAATGATGGAAAATTATCCTAATTTTTTAGTAATATAAATTCTATCTTAAGGGATGCTTTCTGGATTTATGATATATCAGTGGAATTCAGTTTCTTTCAAGTGTCTGTATGAAAATTTCGAATTAGGATACTCTGCAGCAAAATCTCAACCTTTATCATTGCACAGAAATTAAGGTAGAGAGATTAGTGCTGCAGAGGCCCCAGAGAATTCTGGTTCGAAAATTTCAGTGTTTAACCTAAAAAAATGTGATTTTGTTAACATATCATGAATGTGCATCATTTATGGTGATCGACATATCTGTTAAGTCTGACTGTCAAGATTTCTAGCGGCTGTTTCTCTTTCCTTCACCCGTTTTCTTTGCCTTGATGATTGAAGTAGATAATTAAAATATCGCAGCACCTTAAGACAAACTTGAGTGACCGAGCTGCGAATTCTTTGGCGTCTCTATGCAGGTAGTTTTAAATATTTGATTAACTTCGTTGATTCGCTAGAACAGGTAAGCCAATGTGTCTTGCAATGTAAATGAATAGAAGAGGGAGATATATTATGACAATCATGGAGAACTAAATACGTATACCATTTCTTTGGTCTGTGCAAGATCAATCGATTTAGTCAAGGATGTAGCTATATCCTGTTAGAAATGTATTCCTACTGTTAAAAAAATTCCAGTAGACAGATCTCTACGAGACAACCTCCTATTTCTCCAGCACAATAAAATTGGGAGTGAAAATATTGATGACAGATTCTCTGTTACCAACAAATTGAAACTTGATGGTTCAGGCTTGACATACTTCACCATCCATACAACGGAAGTTATCACAGGAGAGATGGCTCCTCACACCCACCCACGCGGCTCCCTGACTAACATTTACACTGAAATTACAAAATTGAACTGAATAATAGATTACAACCAAAGACGGCAAGACCACTGACTGACTAGTAATTCATAAATTATCAACCAGTAAATATTACAATTTAAATATGCACACAGGAATGACACAAAATCTGTAGAGTGCTTGTAAACATAAATCTCACTCTTACGACTCACTCGTCCCCGTTTTTCTTTCTATATTTAGACATAAAAGCTACTGATGCTGGTTTTGGGAGAGAAATGAGTCCATTCTGCCTCAATGCAAATCCAAACATGCTGCAAATCATTCGTTGATAAATTTTGAAATTGAAATACTTAATTGTTATCACAATAAATCTGAAGTCGTGATAACACTTTCCATTTTTAGATCAAGTATAAGATTGGTTTACTTTGTCCTGAAGGTATCTTATGTCATGTAAAAGATTTTACAACCAACATGATTTCAGAATCGAATCCCCATTCAGACTGTGTTTCAGTTAAGAGATGCCTAAGCCACTACTCAAAACATGATTCCGTTTTGAAAACAAATCAATAACTTATATGTGCACAAATAAAAAAGGGTAAAGAAATCACGTATTCCGCAGTTACTACCAAATTGTTTTGTGGATATTCAGTCAGGGGAGATGTCTGAGACCTACTAAGTTACAACACTCAATGAAAGGAAAGGACGATAACACATCTCCCCTCCTTCAAACCATTTTACAGTTGCCATCATCCTCACTATTGTTTTCATAGAAAGGTCACAAGAATATTTAACCAAGCCATTGTTGAGCACGACGATCGCCGCTAGCTCCAACAGAATGCCGAATGCTAATCTTTTCACTAGCATATTTTTGTTGAAGCCATTCAAAAGCATTTACATCAAGTTTTCCATTAACTGACTTCCCTTGCTTCCGACGAGTTTGTTGTTCCCATATGGAAGCCCACAGTTTCCCAACGGCATCCCTCTGACCAGTTGTAAATCTTGCCACATTATCAAAGGCATGCTTTACTAAAATATCAATTACAGTTTGACACCTGGGTAGAGAAAGGACAAAAAATGTCAAAATGACAAAACATTGTAAAATACATAAAATAGAAAATAGTACCAGCATCTACCATGGTGTTTTATAACGCCGAGCAGCAATCTCTAAACAAGTAATCAGGGCTACTCTTTGTGACTTGAGGAATCTCTTGGTTTCTTCCTCATCCTCTTTCCTTATTTTCACAGCTACCTCATTCTTTTCCTTTAGTTTTTCACCTTTCTTTGCGGATCTAGGAATCAGAGCATCAAGTCCAAATGGGTCAGCTTCCTCCCCACCATTATCCTTATCTGTATCATGTGTTTGACTACCTTCATCTGCCGTAACAGTGCTATCTATCAGAGACCTTGCTTCCTCTGCATCCTCTTCTTCTGTTGCAACAGGAAGATTAGATATAGCTTCCTTGATTTGCCCAGATGCTTTAGAAAACTGTATAAAAAGTAGGAAATAAAGCATGAGCAACAAACAGATAATCTTTATGAATCCACGTATTCGAGCTAAATATAAAAAGCTTAAAAAGGGCAACTATATCCTAACTTTAAATCTGGTGACTAAGCAAAAGATAACGTTACAAGTTACAAAATCCAGACAATCTTTCTCACAAAAATCAATTTGATACATTAATACTTTAATGGTCTCTCCACAAATACACAAAGTCAAAATATCAGCTAGTAGAATGCCAAGCCAGGAAATCAACACTTCACTTCAATGAAGATTATTGCTAGTTACAATCAAGACAAATTTTCACTACTCCCCAATAAAATGTTTTGTCCCTGGTGTCAGTCTATATGTCCACATTCAAGAGGTAACACCAGTCATGCACGAGTGCAATACCATGCCCCACTATGCACCTGTCACAAAAAAGTATGGCAAGAGTAAACACAGTGGATGGCTGTATTGGGAATGATGAAGCTTATCAATCAGTCATCCACTAGCCAATAAATCTTAGTATCGCTCCAAAAGATTTTTTCTTCCCAGTCTATCTTGACTTCAGCTTGAAAATCAAATCTTCAAAAGGCTATGTTGAGACACTATGATCCATCTTTGATCATAATTCAAGTACATGAAAAATTACTGATTTGATATGTCAAAGTGAAATGACAACTTCAAAGATAAACTACATCAAAGTAATAACAACTGTACTTGAATATTATGAAATTGTTCACAAAGGAAAGAATAGTACATCAATGATGTCATACTTTTCATTTTGAGATGATTGGAACAACATTACATGTCAAAATCAGTTGCATATCATTCCAATATGCTTTCATTGCCTCAAATAGGAAGAATTTCAGCAAGTTTAAAATAAAACTTTAGTGAGGATCATACCACGAAGCTGTCATCTGTATATAAATCATTTGCCACCACAGCACTAATTGTCCATGTTTCCAATTGATTCTTTTGCTTCTTATTGAGGTGCTGCAATTAAAGGATGGGTGAGGGGTCAAAAAATCCTTCACATACCCTCTCAGAGAAAAACAATTGTTAACAATGAATTGTGAATATCATGAACAAATTGTTAATCTTACTTCTTTGGCGTCTTGTGCTATGGTGAACAAAGAATGATAATCTGCCCGCACTGAAGGATCTGTACAAGTAATGGAAGATGACATTGCAGCTTCTAATATGGCAAAAAAATAATCACTAACTTCTGATTTTACACTTCCTGCCTGAATCAGCTGTATAGCAAGCTTTGCAGCCTTGCTGAACTTTGCAGGGTTCTTAATGTGTGAAGTTATCTTCTTCATGGCCTCTATAACCTGTGCTTGGGAGGCATCCGTGGTGGTTTTGAACTTCAAGCTTTTCTTAGGTGCTGTAGCTGAAATCACAATAGATAATTCAGAATTAAAAATAAAAAAAAATACAAACTCCATCATTTTAAACAGGGATGGAAAAAAATATAAAAGCAATACGTAATAACTGCACAATGTAGAAGCACCCTTAAAACCAGGAGAAATTTAACCTAAATTTTTATCATCTTATTATTTGTTTTGGAACACAAAATAAATAATCAAGGCAAGCTCAAATTGAAGGGTTAATGAGTGTGTTATACATTCTTTCGACGAGTCCGTGTCGTCAATCCGAAGTGTGAAAAGGATGGAACGTAAAAGGAAAAAGGGAAAGTGGAAAACCTATACAACTAAGGGTTGACGCGAGCAAGATATAAATTGAATCAATTGTTTGAATGAGTAACCCTAGGGTGGCATTTAGAAAAATAGCACCAGTATGTTGAAAACACAATTTGAAATAACCAAGAAGGGGAAAAAGAAGAATTGACCTTGGGTGTCAGGTTGAGTAGGGTTGGGGCGCTTGAGGGCACTTTTGAGGATTGGCTTAGGAGGCGGAACTGGAACTGCATAGGATTCCGTGTTGCTGGTAGGAACAATAATTGGTTCTTCATGGCGTGGATGTTGAGAAATAAGAGTGTCTGAGGAAGGAGGAGGCAATCCTTCGAACAAATCGTCTGCCATCACCAATGCTCTCTCTCTTTCTCTCTCTCTCTCTCTCTTTCCTTTGCTAATGAGGAAGACAAGCCTTTCACCCAGCCATAACATGAACATAACCGCGCATATTTGTCGTTTTGGACCAAACGACACGATACCGCAGCATTTTTTTTTTTTTTTTAATGAAGCGGCATCATAAGCCTAAATTATTATTTTTTACTTAATTATATTTTCATTCTTTTAAATTTGAAGTATGTACTTTTTTTCTTAAAATTTAAAATTTATATTTTTAAACCCTAAAATATATATAAAAAATATTATTTTGAATTTTCAAATTTAAAATTTATTTTTTTATCTCTCAAATTAAAAAATATATATTTTTAGTCTTTAAAATATATAAAAAAAAATTATTATTTTAGTTTTTTTACTAAAATGTCATTAAATAATTAGTTGTATAAAATTATTTTACTAATATTATTGTGAGAGAAAATATCACATTAAATCAATTAATATTATAAAATTATTTTAATTTGTCATTGTTAATATTGTTATCAATAATTGTGAAGAATTAAAATAATATTTTTGCAATTATAGAAATTAAAATAATAAATTTTAAATTTAAAAGACTAAAACAATAATTCTTATATTTTGATAATTAAAAACACATGTTTTAAGATCGAGAAACCAAAATAAATATTAAAATAATATATATATATATATATATATATTTTAATATTACAGGGATTACAAATATAAATTTTAAATTTATAGATAAAAATAATTATTATCTTAAATTTAGAGGACTAAAAATAAAATTAAACCTTATTTTTTTCTCTCTCTATTTATTTATTTGAGCTAATTTTACTTTTTAATTATTAAATCGTTTAGTTTGAACTTTAATTTTTAAAATCGAAGCAATATTATATTTTCCGTTCAATTAAATTAATATTATTAGTTTTGTAATTTTTGGCTGTTTAAATTTATACATAATACAATTTTATAATTACTATTGAATTTACATTTATGAAAATAAAGATGAATAAAATACACATTGGTTTTGAGTTTCAACGTACTTCAACTATCTTTTTTCTTAAACTTTTTCTCAATATATTATTTATAACTTTTGAGTGAAATATAAAGACTTAATATTTTTGTACATGCCTCTTACTAATAGCAAGTTTAAAAGTGTTAGCTTAATATAGTTTTTAGTAAAATTAATATAAGTAAAAACTAACACTACTAGAATTTCTCTTATTACATGCGATTTTTCCTGCGAATTTTTCATAAAAATTTGCAAGAAACGTTGTTCCTGCAAATTTTTATCTGCAGGTAATACCTTCGTGGATAATATTTTTTTGCGAATAATTAAAGAAATTGCTATAAATTTTATTGATAATCTTTCAACTTTCAAATGCTCACAATGAATTCATCCGAAGCATTTGTTTCCATGTCTCCAACATGTGATACATAATCTTTTAAATTCTAAGATTATAGATTATAAGCCTAACACTCAACCATATAAATCGACTTGTAAGGTAAGTGTTGCCCCAACTTATATACTCTTTAACTGCTTTATTTTCAATCGATGTGGGACGTGAAATTTTTTTTAAAATATTAAACTTATAAATTTAAATTTATTTTTTTATTTTTCCTGTGGATTAAAATTTGTAGGAAAATTTGCCTGCAAAATTTTTCTACCATTTAGTAAACATTACTTGTGAATTTATTTTTGCAAGAAAATCTGCAAGAAACAAAATAAAATTCTTACAATATTTTCTGCAAATTTTTACCATGGAAAAAAAATTCTATGATTATTAAAATTGTAGCAAAATTTGTAAGAAATATCTATAAATTATTTTTCGCAAATAAATTTGCAAAAAATTTATGCGAATATTTTTTTGCAGGAAAATTTGCAAAAAAATTCTGCGAATTTATTTTGCAAGAAAATTCATAAAAAATTTCTGCGAATATTTTTTTACAAGAAAATTTGCAAAAAATGACACTTTTCTAGTAGTGTAAATGTAATCAAAGAATACTTAAAATTGATCTTAAAGAGACTTGGGAAAATAATACTTGAGATTGTTTAACCAAGCATGTAAATATAATATTTGTTGAGGTTAAAAAGTACTTATAACAACCATATATAGCAATATAAATCTTAGTAGTGTACAAAAAATTTGGAAGTGGTCTTGGATAAAAATTATTACCAAAATTTGCAGGTGCTCTAAGGGGAGAGGTAATGTTCTTCATACTCTAGTTATTGATAAAGAGGAAGGGCACCCAAAAAAATACTTAACACTCAAGTTAGAGAAAAATTCAGGTAAGTGTAGAATTAGGATTAAAATGATACCTCATACTCAATATATAGGAGATTGATGTTATCTCTAGTTTTAGAGATAATGTTATAGATTTATTTCGGATGATGTATGGAGATATTATTCTTGATAATATGATCTTAAGTGGGATCTTGGATATCTGGGAGATATGGTGCAGTGCAAAAAATATTATTTGGTTGCTGGAGATAATAATCGCTTATGACTTTATCATTTAGGCTTAGTATGGGTGAGCTGTTGATTTTCTCGGTTTGTCCAAGCAGATGTTAGCTCAACTCAATCTTGCCGATCTAGGCAATACATAAGACCCCCAATTTTGAGCTCTTTCAAAGTGAAGGGACTAGTAGCCAATTCGTCTCGTCTTTGTTAACGAAAGTGAAGTAAATGGTTGGTGAGGGAGTTGTTAGGGCGTGTTGTGTGCATTTTGATAGTTTCTTGTGTGTCTTAAAAAGTGATGGTTACATTTTCAATGACGATATCTAGGTCATTTAGTAACATTTGATCTTTGATTACAAGCCATTTATGTAGAGAGAATGAGTGGTGGTTACTTCCTCCTCTTTTAAGAAGGGTTTTAATTATGACTATTCATTTTTATATGTTTTGTTGTTATGGCTTCTTTACTTTTGTTTTTGTATTGTATTTGTGACTTCTTGGCTACTTGCTTGTTTGTGTGCATTAGAATTTTCACTTGTTGCACGAGATTCATAAAACTAAAGGTATCTTTCTTCCTCTTCCTTTATTTTGTTTGCACGTTTTATGGAAAAAGGAAAAGTATCTTTGTAGGTGGCCTTCCTCATTGTTAGCAACAAGAGTATGAAGAACATCCTCTCTCTTGTCAAAACACCTACGAAATATAGTGAGAACAAAAACAAACCAATATAAAAAATGCATTTTTTCCCTTTTCCTTTTACCTCCTTTATAAGTTGTTTAAGTCATAATTGTATTTAATGTGGTTGAATGACTTCATCTTATTAAACCATATTATCTTGTCCTATATGACAAGAGCTAAACTTTGTTTATAATTTACATGATTAAACTATTGAGAAACCTAGTAATGTTGGTTCTCTTTTCCTCCCTTATACTTGCCCTCAACGTGTATTACTCTATATTTTGTCTATACTCTTCTACACTCATATTCTTTTGATAAAATGTTTCCTTCTTATGACACTCTTAAAGTCATACCAATATTTAATACTAGGTTCATTGTGAAGCCTTCTATCTTTTTATTTGAAGGTCCACCAATATATAGCATACCCTTAGAAGCTAAGGGTTGCTAGTGAAATATTTCTCCTCTTCACTCATTTTATGACGAGTAAAGAGTTGTTCCATTTTTATCTCTCAATCAATATATGCCCCTACATCGTGCTTCCCATGGAAGTGAGGGAGATCCACCTTGGATCCCCTTACCCACTGCTCTTTCTTGGACTTGGAAACTCTAAGTTCTTATCGGTAATAATTACTCATGTATAAACTATCTTCATGATGAGTGAAAATATGACTCTTAATGAGCTACTACTATGAGAACTATTACCATACTTTTTCTTATTTTTCATTTTCTAAGAGATTTTATTACTCTCTAAAATCTTTAAGTTCCAGTGGATCCTAAGAGAAAATATTAAGAAAAATAACACAAAATCATATTGTATTAAAAGATTTAAGTATTTGAACATCAATTAAGAAAATAAATAAAATAAATATATTAATTATGATTAATTAATAATATATTTTAAAATTATCAAAGCATTAAATATCAACATTATAATATTATCTTTCTGCAATATTTCATTTGAATGAAAGCATGCATGTATTAATATAAAAAAAATCATATATATAAGTAAATTATATAAATACTCTTCATATTTCACAAAATAGCATGTACCCTTTCTACTTTCCCCCTACACTAACACTTTGATTCAATAGAAATAGCTAAGAAATTGATAAGAGAGTCAAAACAGAGCGTAAAAAATCCCAAGCGTGTGGTTCAGTGGTAGGGGTTGATCCACGCTTAAGCAAGGTCAGGGGTTCGAATCTTGTCTTGTGTATGCAGCCGCGTTAAATCTTGGGGCCAGCTATCTCACCCTTTGAGGTGCCTCCAACGTAGCGAGGAGATTAGTCACTGCTACCGGCGGTGGATACTCCAGGAACGAAAAAAAAAAAATAGAACTTAAAAATAAGTTGGTTTGTTTAGTGGATATAAAAAGGAACTGGGCCCAATAGGTTTTTTTTTTGTTTTTTTGTTTTTATTTTTTGTTCACACGCATATGATAGTAGAATTAACATCGAAATAAGCCGGGACGAGAAATGTAACATACTATTGTCCCTTTTAATCGATAAGCATATACCCATATTCGGTTACGGTGCTATCAAACCTCTCCTTTCCTACAAAATTTGTAATCGGTTCTCCTCATATTAAATACGAGTAAAGATTTTTTCATTTTTTCTTTATTTTTTATTATAAAATTTTAAAAGTATAAATATCACTTTTCATAAAATATGTGGATGTTTTCTTGGTCTTGACTATTTTCTTTTAGTTGGTTAATTATAATATTAAAATATTACGATATTAATTTTTAATTTTAAAAAAAACTTCATTATTTATCCTTATATTCTTTTAGTTTATTTATTTATTTTACTTATTTTTTATTTTAATATACTTCATTTATTGTTTATTTCTTTTCATCTTATCAACATATATAATATTAATTCTTTTAATTCTACAATCAAAATTTTATTATATTTTTTATCCATTTTTCTTATTCTATTTCTCACCTAT